GATCACCACACAGTCTTCCCTGACATTCACCTCAGCTGACAGGATTGCATGGAGACTATGCTGCTTTGCCATCCCTGAAAATGGAACCCTACCCAGCTGGCATACTCACAGCCACACACAAGTGACAATCATTCCCCACTGAAGTCAGTCCATAAAGACTAGAAGAGGTGATTGCTCCCTCAAATGTACAGACATCAATGTGAGCCCACAAGAAACACATACACACACACAAGCAAACATGACACTACCAAAGGAACACAATAATTTTCCAGTAACTGACTCCAAAGAAATGGAGACCTACAAATTGCCTGAAAAGGAATTCAAAATAATTATTTTAAAGAAACTCAGCAAGATATAGGAGAACACAGACAACTCAACAAAATTAGGGAAATAATACATGAACAAAATAAGAAATTCAATAGAGATAACTTTAAACACAAATCTTGCTACAGCAATTTTGAAAAAGAAGAACAAAGTAGGAAGAATCACAATACCGGACATCAGGTTATACCACAAACCCATTTTAATCAAAACAGCCTGGTTCCAGCACATGAACAGGCATATAGATCAATGGAACAGAACAGAAAACCCAGAAACTGACCCAAGACATTATGCCCAATGAATATTTGACAAAGGTGTCAAGAGCATACAATGGAGTAAAGACAGCCTGTTCAATAAATGGAGTTGGGAAAATTGGACAGCTACATGCAAAAAAAAATTAAGCTAGACCACCAACTTACACCATACACAAGAATAAACTCAAAATGAATAAAAGACTTAAATGTGACTCATGATCCATAAAAATCTTAGAAGAAAATGTAGGCAACAAAATTTTGGACATCACAGAATGGCTGCCATCAACAAATCATCAAACAACAAGAGTTGGCGAGGGAGTGGAGAAAAGGGGACTCTAGTACACTGTTGGTGGGAATGCAGACTGGTGCAGCCACTATGGAAAACAATATGGTGTTACCTCAGAAAATTAAAAATTGATCTGCCATTTGACCCAGCGATCCCACTTCTAGGAATATATTGTAAGAAGCCTGAAACACCAATCAGAAAGAATATCTATACCCTTGTGTTCATAGCAGCACTATTTACAATTGCTAAGATCTGGAAATAGCCCAAGTGTCCATCAGCAAATGAGTGGATAAAAAAGCTGTGGTTCATATACACAATGGACTACTATGCAGGTGTAAGAAAGAAAGATCTCTTATCCTTGAGACAACATGAAGAGACCTGGAGAGCATTATGCTAAGCGAAATAAGCCAATCAGAGAAAGACAAATACCACATGATCTCACATATTTGTGGAATATAATGAACAAAATAAGCTGATGAATAAAATAGACCCAGAGACATAGAAAGGAGTATGGTTCAGACTGACAGACTTCAGAGAAGGGAGGTGGGGGGGGGGGGGGATGAGATAAACCAAAGAACTTATGTGAATGTAAATGTAACCAATGGACATAGACAACAATGCTTGCGGGGGGAGGTGGGATAGGAAGGAGGGTGTCTATGGGGAGAAAAGGAGAAACATCTGTAATAAAAAAATAAATTAATAAAAATTGCAAAACAAATCCTGGAGCTAAAGAATGCAATGAATCAAGTGAAAAATGCAGTAGCTTCAACAACAGACTTGATCAAGCAAAAGAAGGAACTCAAAGACAAATCTTTTGAAATTATTCAGTCTGAGAAGAAATAAAATGAAGAAAGTCTACAGGACTTATGGATACATTGAATTTTTCCAATGAAGACATACAAATGGTCAACAGGTGCTTAAAACTGTGCTTAACATCACTAACCATCAGGGAAATGCAAATCAAACCACAATGAGTTGTTATCACCTCACACCTGTTAGAATGGCTACCATTGAAAAGAGAAGAAATAACAAGTGCCAGTGAGGATGTGAAGAAAAGGGACCCTCGTGGACTGTTGGTGGGAATGTAAACTAGTTCAGCCACTATGGAAAACAGTATGGAGGTTCCTCAAAAAATTAAAAAATACAACCACCATATGATCCAGCAATTTCACTTTAAGAAAAATGAAATCAGAATCTGGAAGAGATGCCTGTGCTCCTATGTTTATTACAGCATTATTCACAATAGCCAAAATATGGAATAACCTGTGTCCATTGATTAATGGATGGATAAGGAGAATGGGATGCATATTTGAAAAAAAAAAAAAAAACTTGAACTCATAGAAACAGATAGCAAAATGGTTTTTATATTATGTTTTTTAACCTGATTTTTTTTTTTACTTAATAATGTATTTGATGCTTTTCTATGCCAGTAAATATATATGAATATCATCATTTAAAAGATTGCTTAATATTCCACACTAGGATATTGTACTAGCTTTAGATGATTAAAGAGCTCTTGTCTACTGAAGCCGGAGATGTGCTCCTAATCACTGTGGTCATCTGGGCTCTGTCTCTGGGGTTACTTTAATAGGAACAAGTTCCAAGATTGATAACAGCTTACAAAATTACTTTACTGAAATCCCTGGTTATATTACTGAGGCAGGAGACTGATTGATATATTTGTAGTGCTGACCAAGTCTCAAACTTAGCCAGGAATTTTATGCCTATGCCAGAACTTGGAGGAGGAGAATGGCAGCTGAATTGTCTTCAAGAAAATTATAATTCTTTTTTTTTTCATCTGGGGTTATATCTACTTTTTTGTTTCAAATTTTATATATATGGAATTTCTTATTTTTATTTGGTTATTTATTTTATTGAGTTTTTTCATAAAAAATCAATTCTTTAAGTTCTTGGATGGAGATTTATTAATTAATGATAATGTTTTAAATTTATTTTTATTCATACATGTAATACAAAAGGATGTTTTTATTACAAAAATTTAGCCAATACAAATGTAACTAACGTCCCTCTTGATCACTATTTCCAATTCCAGGCCCTTCTTAGAGTTTGGTGTATGTCATTCCAGAACTGTTTATGGAGTTTCATTTTCCCTTTTCTCACCCAATTAATATCTGCCTCAGGGAAAGAAAGGTATTAGTTTTGTCTAAATTATAACAATGAAATTTTAAAAGTCAAAAACCTTATTTAAATTATTCATTTCAGCTCCAATCCTGGTCTACTCTGACCCAACCTGGTTTTATACTATCAAAATTAAGCTTTATTTATTTGTTTGTTTGTTTAATCCTCACCCAAGGACATTTTTGCATTTATCTTCAGATAGAACGGGAGGGAGAGAGGAAGGAAGAGAGAGAGAGAGTAACATTGATGTGAGAGAGACACAACTGGTAGCCATCCACATGACCCCAACCGGGGCCAGGGACAAACTACAACTGAGGTACATGCCTCTAGCGGGAACCGAACCCGGGACTCTCTGGTCTGTGGGTCGATGCTCTAACCACTGAGCAAAGGAAAAATTAGGCTTTAAATATCATTACATTGGGCTCTCAATCCCCAAACTTATGATATAGTTATATTCCTATTTTTTAGTGAAATCACAGGAAACTACATAAATGTTTGCTGTGGAACCAAATAGGATTACAATTTTTTATTTTTATAACTTATTTAACTAAAACTTCTAATTGTTTTCCTGTTCTTCTTATAATGTTTTTTCTTTAATTATCCTCTTTTTAAAATAGTTCCATCATATCACATATTCTTTCTTGCTTAGATACTGACCTCCTAGACCCACACATCCTCCTACACCAGTGTGGGCTGGTTCTCTTTAGGTCTCAGGCTAAGTTATCAACCTGGGACTTTTCCTTATCCTCCCTCAGGATAGGTCCCTGATTCCTGGATCTCATGTCTTCCTTTTTTTTTTTTTTTTTTTTTTTTTTTTGGTATGTACCCCTAGCGGGAACCGAACCCAGGACTCTCTGGTCAACTGTTGAGCCAAACCGGCCAGGGTATTCCTATTTTTTAATATACTCTTTTATTTTGGTAGAAAACATTCTCTAATCACTTCCTGAGCATGGTTGCATTAAAAGTAGATTTGTTGAATCTTTGTGTATTAGAAAATGTCTTGATTCTCATTTCCCATTTGATTATGTTGCTGCACATAGAGTGCAGTGTGCATTAATTCCAAAATGTATTTGACCATAGAAACCTTTTCCATGGAGTTCCATAGTTTCACAGGGCTCTGTGGAAATATACTTTGGGGAAAGTTTTCCCTTTGAGGGAAATCTGGATTCAGTTAAGATTTTGCTTTCAGATATTGTGTCAGATGATGAGGCTGTTTAGGTACCTGATGGATAGCTTGGTAAAAGTATATTATTTTTACTTATGCTTATGCATCTACTTTACTACCATGAAATTCCTTCACTTGGATAATCCTGTCCACAGTAGAAATTAATATTGCTGACTTTGTGGTGGGATTTGTATGTGTATTCTAAACATAAGTCCTGCTCCTTTGTGCTTACTTATTCTGCAAATTAGTGGTGCCATGGATGCTAGGCATTGTGTTATGTGATTAGAATGCATTATACGATGGGCTAGATACTGTTAGCGTCATTTATAAATTAGAAAACTGGAGCTCGGAGAGCTCAATTGACTTGCTCAAAGTGACACAGCTGGTAAATGGTAGGGCTAGGATTTGAACCCAGGCAATCTGACTCTAGAACCTGTGCCACTATGCTATGCAGCAATAACAGCTAGCCTATATAAACTTTCCTGAGTTAAGTTATCGTCATCATCAGAGTTCTGTGTGACTATTAAGACTCTCTACTATTGTGTATGTTAATTACATTTCTCCATTTTTACTCCAACATCCATTCACTTTTAATAATAGCCCTTTTTTATGGTCACAAACAGATATACCACAATAGCAGTGAGGCAAAATCCACTTTTGCCACCATTGTTAAACAACTGGTACGTGTGTCATGGATTTAACCCAATTACCTATAATATAATACTTCCAACTAGTATGTTTCTATTCATCTGGGAATAGAAGATACCCTCTAACACAGAACCAGCTTGGTATCTAGGTTATGAGTAACCAGAGTCTTATTCTTTCTCATCTCCAGGTCTGTGGGTTCTGGGATGCCACAACTCAGATTTTCGGAACAGAGGCATGACAGCTTTACTGAAGGTTTCTAGTTGTAGCAGAAACATTGGTGATTTGTATGAGGACACATATGAAGACATTCCAACTTCCTTGCTGAATGAAAATGATGTCATTGAACCCAAAAGCTTCTCCAAGAATTCAAGACACCGTAGCACTAGGCAAAAGCAATTTGAAGTCACTATAACTCCAGAAAATGATATGGAGAAGATTGATCCTTGGTCTGAAGAGAGAACACCACTACATAAAGTACAAAGTGTTTCCTCTGGTGATTTGTTGATGCTCTTGGGAGAGAATCCTACTCCACATGGATTATCCTTATCTGATCTCCAAGAATCCACATATAAGGCTGATGAAAGAAACAAAGGCCCATCTGAAATGATACATCTCAGACCAGAGCTCCATAAGAGTAGGGACAGAGTATTTACTCCTAAGACAGAACTACAATTAAGATTAAATGAGAATTTGTTGTCAACTATAAAAGTAGAGTTGAAGAAACTTGATTTAACAATTCCTAGTTTATCAAACAATCTAATTACTTCACCAACAATTCCATCAGAAGAGTTGGCAGCAGGTACTGAACAGACAGGTTCCTTAGAATCCCCAAATATGCCAATTCACTTTAGTAATCAATCAGGTACCATTATATTGGACAAAAATGCATCTCACCTTATTGGGTCTGGTGTACCTTTGGGTTTAAGTAAGGGAGATAATGATTCCAAGTTGTTAGAAGCAGATTTAATGAATAGTCAAGAAAATTCACTAGGAGAAAATGCATTATCAGTGGAGAGTGATACGTTATTTAAAGAAGAAATTCATGAACCTGCTTCATTGACAAAGACTCACATCGATGGCCCAACATTATCCATTAAGAATAGTACACCTGTCTGGCAAGATATTACATTAAACAGTAATTCTGAGGTTCAAAAAGTGACTTCTTTGATTCATGATGAAATGCTTATGGACAAAAATATTATAGCTCTGGGCCTAAATTATGTGTCAAATAAAACAACTTCATCAAATATAATAGAAATGGTTCACCAAAAAAAAGAGGCCCCTGTTCCCATAGGTACAGAAAATCCAGATATATCACTCTTCAAGATGCTGTTCTTGCCAGATTCAGCAAATTGGACTAAAAGGACCCATGGCAAGAACTCCCCAAGCTCTGAGCAAAGGCCTGGTATAAAGCAGTTGATACCTTTAGGATCAGAAAAATCTGTGAAAGATCAGAATTTCTTGTCAGAGAAGAATAAAGTGGTAGTAGAAGAGGATGAATTTACAAAGGACCTGGGACTCAAAGAGATGATTTCTCCAAACAATAAGAGCATATTTCTTACTAACTTGGCTAATATCCAAAAAGATGATACACGCAATCAAGAAAAAGAATCCCAGGAAGAAATAGAAAGGAAGGAAAAATTAATCCAAGAGAATGTACTTTTACCTCATGTGTATACAGTGAATGGCATTAAGAATTTCCTGAAGAACCTTTTCTTACTAAGCACAAAGCAAAATGTAGACAGTTTAAATGAGGGGACATATATTCCAATACTTCAAGACACCAGGTCATTAAATGATTCAGCAAATAGCGCAGGGATTCACATAGCCCATTTCTCAAAAATAAAGGAGACAGCAAACTTGGAAGGCTTGAGAAATCAAACAAAACAAGTGGTAGAGAAATATCTAAACACCACAAGGATATCTCTTAATCCAAGTCAGCAGAATGTTATTGCTCAACGTGGTAAGCGGGATTTAACACAATTTACACTCCAAGAAAAAGACATAAAGTTTGAAGGTGGGATAATTTTTAATGACACCTCAACCCAGCGGTCCAAAAATATAAAATATTTGACCCAGGGCACCCTCACACAGATAGAGTACCACGGGAAGGAGAAAGGGGACATTAATCAGTCCCTCTTATCAGATTTTTCTATGAGAAGTCATGGCATCATTCAAACAGATGGCTCTACATTACCCCTTGTGAAGGTATCAGCATTTCCATCAACTAAACCTACAGATGTGACCAAGATCCCACCCCAAGACAACTCTCCTCATCTATCATCAGCCTATAGCCATACCTTTAGGGAGAGGAGTTCTGGAGTCCAAGAAAGCAGTCATTTCTTACAAGGAGCCAAAAGAAATCTTTCTTTAGCCTTCCAAATCTTGGAAATGATTGGAGGACAGGAAAACATTAGCTCCCTGGGAGAAAGTGCCACAGACTCACTCATGCACAAAAAACTTGAGAACACTGTTCTCTTGAAACCAGGCTTCTCTGAAGCATCTGGCAAAGTTGAATTACTTCCTAAAGTTTATGTTCATCAAGTAGACTCTTTGTCTATAAACACTAGCAATGGTTCTCCTGGCCACCCTGATCTAATAGAAGGTATCTTCCTTCAGAAAACACAGGATGCTGTTAAATTGAATAAAGTAAATAGACCTGGAAATGTGCCCTTTCTGAAATGGGCAACTGAAAGCTCTGAAAAGACTCCCTCCAAACTGCTAGGTCTCCTCACTTGGGATAATCAATATGCTACCCAGTTACCAATAGAAGAGTGGAAATCCCAACAGAAGTCACACAAAAACATAACTTTCAAGACAAAAGACACCATTTTACCCCTAGACCCTTATAAAAATAATAATTCAATAGCAGCAATAAAGGAAAGACAAGATAAACCCCAAAGAGAAGCCACCTGGGCAAAGCAAGGAGAAACTGGGAGGTTGTACTTTCAGAATCCACCAGTCTTGAAACACCATCAAAGGAAAATAACCCCTACTACTCTTCAGCCAGAGGAAGAGAAAATTGACTATGATGATAACTTCTCAATTGAAATGAAGAGAGAAGATTTTGACATATATGGTGAGGATGAAAATCAGGGCCCTCGCAGCTTTCAAAAGAGAACACGACACTATTTTATTGCTGCAGTGGAGTGTCTCTGGGATTATGGAATAAGTAAATCCATAAAAAACAGGTATGGGTACATTGACTATTCTTCTGTATTGCTATTGTGACCTTTGATTTTACCTGGTGCTGAAACAATAGGAAAGTCTCAGCCAATCTGAAACAGTGAGACTCCAAAGATTGCTTTATAGAAGAACGCTGAGAACCAGATGGCAAAGTCTAGATGAGGCTGAGGAGTAAATGGGAGGTTAGATGATGATACCAGTAAGATGGTAAATCCAGATAGCATGAAACTCTTATTCTGGTGGGATGGAGGAGAAGGAGAGGGGCTTACAAAAAGGTAGACGAGTGAGAGTCAAGAAGCATCAATGGCTGCCCTGGCCGGTTTGGCTCAGAGGTTAGAGCGTTGGCCCGCAGACCAGAGAGTCCTGTGTTCAGTTCCTGCTAAGAACACGTACCTCAGTTGCAGTTTGTTCCCGGCCCCAGTTGGGGTCATGTGGGTGGCAGCCAGTCGATGTGTCTCTCTCACATCGATGTGTCTCTCTCTCTCTCCTCCTTCCTTTCTCCCTCCCACTCTATCTGAAGATAAATGCAAAAATGTCCTCAGATGAGGATAAAAAATAAAAAAAGAAGCAGCAATGGAAAATAGGAAGAAAGTCAACTTTACCTATCAGCCTCATGAGCTGCAGTAGAAGACATAATGTAATGAGAGAGCCCTGAAGAGGAAGGAGGAAGAAGTGAAGTGTGTGGTATAAAGATTGGGGAAAGTTGTTTTCCATGGTACGGGCAGGCAGAGGGCAAAGTTAGGACATCAGAAGGAGGATGGGCAGGGGAGAAAAGCACAGAGAAATTTGGAAGATAAACATAAGGACAGTCGATCAGTCAACAAATACTTATTGAGTACCTACTATAATTTTGTAGGCACGAGTGCAGCACAATAGGAGTTTACATTCTGTTGGGGAAAGCAAGAGATAATAAAGTAGTAGAAAAATAAATAGAGAGGTCTTGATGATGCTATTCAGAGGATAGAATTGAATAATATGATAGAGTAACAGTGGGGTGTTACTTTAGTTGTAGTGGTCATAGAAATCTTTTGTGGAGTGGAGACCTAAATGATAATAAGAGACTAGCTGACAGAGCTCTGAGAGAAGATATTTTTAGGCAAAGGGAACAGGAAGTGCAAAGGCCCTGAGAATGGAACATATATAGCATGTTTGAGAAATGAAAAAGGACTAGCATGACTGGAGGACAGTGAAAAACTAGTGGGGAGCAGTGTAGGAAAAGAGATGGTAGAGATGAGCAGTCATCAGATAATATAGGTACCCTCTTCATTACTCATTGTCACTTTCCGGCCTTGCTTTTTACTTCAAGTGTGCCCTTATTGCTGCCTAGCAACTATAGAATATTTCCCTAGTTACTGACTTCCCATTCTCCTGGACCTCTATCTTACATTGTCTGCTTTTTCTTTAAATCTCCAATACTTTTTGCCCATTCTCAAATACTCCTTAGCTGATGCTGTGCAATGAACCTCCACAGATTTCCGGTACCACATTTATTGACATCTGTACTCCCATACCTGTTTTCATGCTTATGACACTAAATAGGCTGTCTATGTTCCTAAAACCAGCTTCTCCAGTTTTTCACTTAACCCTATCCTTTCTCCCTTTATAAAAACTGTTGCTTCAGCAATTCCCCTTTTCTTTTTTACATCATCAATTTCTCTCTCTCCACTGAGTTAGTCTCATCAGTATCAATCATGCTATATTATTTCTCCTTTTGTCTTTTCAAAAAACATTTAAAAATAATTTTTCTTACTTGCTTCATTTGCTTCTTTTTCTTATTTCTTTAAGCCACTCCAAAGAGCCTTTTATCTCCATTATTCCATAAAATCTACATTTTGAAGGTCACTGTTGATCTTTACTTATTCTCAGTCTTCATCTTAGTTGAACTCTCAGTAGTATTTTGTAGTTAATTATTCCATTATTTATACATGTTCTCACATGGTCTCTCTGACACCACTTTTCTTTAATTTTTCTACTAAACTCACTGCCAATCTTTCCCTATCAACTTTGCTGGTTCTTCATCTCCCTAACCTTTAAATGTTAGAACACTCTGGATATTAAGTCTCCAAACTCTCTTTTTTGTTTGCACTCACTCTCTTGATAATCTGTCTACCTTTATGGTGGTAGCTACTATTTATATGACAATTTCCAGTGGTATATCTCCATCAAATATCTCTCCCTTGACCTTGAGATTCAAATATCAAGTCTCCACCTTAACATGTATACAACTGGACTCTTAATTTCTGCCCCTTCCTAAAACCTGTTTGCCCAGCCTTCATCATGGCAGTCAGTGATCATTTTTTCTTTCAGCTACTCAGACTAAAAATCTTGAAGTTATTCTTAATTTTTCTTTTTCTCTCATAATCACATCTAGTCCATCAAAGAATCAAAAAATAACCAGAATTTAATTATACACTGAGTATTGGATAAGATGAAAATGTACTCAAATGGAAAGTTAGAGATTGTTGACTAGGACAAAAACAGATTACAAAAAAATAAGACGACATAATAAAATGTTACTCTAGATTAAAAGTAATGTTTTTAATTTTTAAAAGATATGTGTCTATATTTAAAATTTTCTTACAATGCATGTGCACTGCTTCTATGCTAACAAAAATCTATTTAAAATAATAAAATCAATTCTACACGCACACGCACACACACACACACACACACACACTCTCTCTCTCTCTCACACACACACTCCAGCTACTTCTCTCCATCTCAGTGGCTACTATCTAGTCTAAACCATAATTAACTCTCACCCAAATGATTATAATAACCTCTCAACTGGCCTTCTACCTTCCAGCCTTGCCCTCCTATGGCCTTTTCCCAGCATAAGAGCTAATTTTTAAATTGTAATTGTGATTATTGTTCTCTGCTCCAAATCTCCCAGTGCATTTCCATCTCACCCTGAGTAAATTCCAAAGCCCTCATTGTGGCCTTCAAGGTTTCTTGCTCACTCTACTCCAGCCACACTGGCCTCATTGCTTTTCCTCAAAAGTAACAAGTATGCACCTATTTTGGGGTCTTTGCACTTTCTGTTCTCTGTTTGGACTTCCTTCTCCTGATATCCTAGTGTTAGTTCTCTCATTTCCTTCAGGTTGCTGCTCAAGTTTTATTTTGTCAGTGAGGCTTTCCCTGAACACTGCTCCCAGCACTCTTTTTCAATGTACTTTCTACCACCTGAAATATTATACATTTATTTGTTTATGTTTATGTTCCCCCCCCAAAAAAAAATTAAAAATAAGCAAGAAGCCACAGAAACATTAGACAGCCAAAACAAAGTAACAGATTTAAGATAAATAAATTATGAGATAGTTATTAAAAAACCTATGCATCATGTAGAAAAATTGGTGAACCATACGTAAGTAAAAAGAAATAATATGAAATGCAGCATGCAGAGATTTTTTAAATGGAAAATACAAATGAGATAATAAAAAACAATATGACCAACTGTATTTTCCAAAGATGGATGTGTCAATATATCCTGTCCTACATGCTCTTGCACAATGTGATCCTTTTCCCTTTCGAGAAGTAAAGTCTAATTTCTCTCCCCTTGATCAGGGCTGGCATTATGACTTACTTTTGAGAATAGAATATAACAGAAATGTGTGACCTATATATGTGATGGAAGTGATACTGTGTGATTCCTTAGGTTAGGTCAGAAAATACCATGCAGCTTATATGTAATTCTCTTGGGATGCACTCTCTGAAAGAAGCCAACCACCATGTATGAAATCTGACTGCCTTGGTACTGCTATGCTGAAAAGGTCACATATAGGCCCTCTGATCAAGAGTCTTTGCTAAGTCTAGATTTTCAGCATTCTCCACCAAGGCACCAGACATGTGAATGAAGTCATTTTGGACCCTCTAGATCAGTGCTTCTCAACCTGTGGTTCGCAACCACTTTGGTGGCCAAACGACCCTTTCACAGGGGTTGCCTAAGACATAACAGTAGCAAAATTACAGTTATGAAGTAGCAACAAAAGTAATTTTCTGGTTGGGGGTCACCACAACATGAGGAACTGTATTAAAGGGTTGTGGCATTAGGAAGGTTGAGAACCACTACTCTAGATCATCCCACATGCCAGCTTAATACCACTGAGTGACTATATTTGACAACATGAGGAGCAAAACTATTACCTAGCCAAGCCCTGCTGGAATTTCTGACAACAAAGTCAACAAGTATAATAAAATAGCTTTTTTAAGCCACTAAAGTTTTTAGGTAGCTTGTGATACAGCAACAAATAACCAGAATAGAGACATAGAGGATAGAGTATAAAGGACTAACCTATTTTTAATTGAAATCTCAGAAGAAAAGGAAAGAGTGATTAGAGAAGAAGTAATATTTGAAGAGGTAATACCTGATTATTTCCAAAATTGAAAAAAAAAAAGAGTCATAACTCACAATTCAAAGATCTCAGCAAATCCCAAACAGGATGAATTTTAAAAATCAACACCTAGGCACATTTCATCAGAGTGAAAGTGCAGAATACCCAAGAGAAAACTCTTAAAAGATCCCCCCCAAAAAAGGCATACATTCAAATGAGATACAGAGAGGTGATTTTTCAATCATACTAATTAAAGATAGAAGACTGGGAAATAATATCTAGAAGGCATCAAAATACAGTAACTGCCAACCTAGAATTCTATACCCATCAAAAACATGATTCAAGAATCAAAGTGAAATAAGGACATCTTCAGACAAACAGAAAGAGAAATTTCACCACTAGCAAAAATCTACTAAAAATATCCTAATGATAAAACTGAGACAATAGAAAAGTGGCACTAAATGGAAGACGTGAGAGGCAAGAAGGACTAAAAAGCAAAGAAAAGGTAAATATATGGATAAATATAAGTAAGTATTGTTTGTATAAACAATGATAAAATGTTTTACCAACTTTAGATAGATAGAATTGCTTTTTTTCCCACAATGGTTTTGCCACCAAAACACAGGTGTTATGAAAAACCATCCCTAAATCTAAGCCAAAATGGAAAAAAAAAA